CATGTCGTGCAGCCTACTGTATAAGTAACACTTTCCCTTGGGGTACAATACAAATTGATCTTATTTCATTGCCCTGCTTTGATGGCAAGCCAATATCATAGGCCAACATTGAGTTATTAAAGTTATGAATATTTGTTTAGTGTTCTCTTATCTAGGGCTGCACGATTTTGGGAAAAAAATGTAATTGCGATTTTTCTGACAAATATTGCGATTCGATTTGCGATATTTGTTTTTAAGCGACCCAACGGAAGTTTATTGTAAAATGCGGCCATATCTCCGGCTAGGAAGGTCGTATCAACATGCTCCCGTTTCTAGCACCCCCGCAGCCCGAGCTACGAGTGAAAGAACTAAACTTACATGAAACTTCCATTGGGTTGCTTTAAAGTCAAGCTTCAGTTTAAGATTCACCCTGTAATAGAAACATGTGTTGGAGCATTACTAACCTGACTCAGATGGTTTGTTTCACCAAACCATCTGGAAAGCTCCATTGGAAGCCATTTGGAAAAGGCAGGCACTTTCAAAAATACTTGGCAGGTGATTGGATCAATCTGTCTATCACCTTCTATCATGGGCCACTTCTGATTGGTTAACAATGGCTGCTACATGTGGAGCATAGCACTTCTGATTGGTGTGGATGACTGACACACAAGAAGAACAAAAAAAAAACGTTATAAAAAATCGCAGGCTTTGCAATTTGATAATCGTATCATTTAAAATCACGATTTTGATTTAAAATCGATTAATCATTCAGCCCTACTCTTATCTCTATTATTCTAATGCATCAATATTGGCCTGAAGGGCAGTATTGGTATAGATCTACATACCATCTCTGTAGACTTACACTGGAAGAGACAACAACCACATACTTGAAGAGTTAACCTTCATACCTGTCACTGAAGCAATAGGTGTACAGTAACAGGCCTCTGGCTCAAGTGTCTCAACAAGACAGACAGTTTGCTGGGTGGTTAGTACTATCAAATCATGCTGACACTTTCTGTCAACAGCAGAGAGAGAGAGGGAGAGAGAGCAGGCCACCAAAGCAGACGCAGCAACGGTTTCTCAGATGTTTGCGAGGTGGTAAAGTTAAAAAAAAAAGAAGCACGCTCGTTTGCGTAGCTCAAATATGCTGTAAAATGCCTCAAATTGCTCCTAGTTTATTTCTATCCCTGGGAGAAACCAAATTAGACACAAGCCCCGACAAACCTCAAGTACTAAAAAGGGACAAGTAGGCAAATAGCTGCTTCCGCACGCTAGAGTGAAGAGCGAGAGAGAGATAGAGAGCGATAAAATGCATCTAGTTTAAACTGTAACACATAGGACATTTGTTATTTGTATTCTATGCACTAGGTAGCAGGATAAACAAAGGGATCTAGAAATCATCTAAACCATGAAAACACATCAGTTTGGCACAACATTGACCGTAATGCTGAGCATATTATCTCAGGAATAAATAATGCCACTTCTAAAAGTAACATTAATTGATAACAGCTAAAAACAAAACATGTGAAACTTCTTGTCCGACTTCTTGTCAACTTTACGTTTTTGGAACATATCAATGATACCATAATCCCTGTTGACAGCTCTGCACTTTTGCTCCTTACGCTAGCTTGGCATACTAAAGGAATAAGGTACACAAAGCCGAAATCTTGGTGGTCCTGATACAAAAAATGAAAAGGCAGTATGATGTGCTTAGAAATGGTACAGAGATATTTTAACTACCAGCTGTCAGTCAACTATGCTTTATTATTAAAGAGCAAATAACTGCAAGCGACCTGACTGTAATCGTCTTGATGGGGTCAGCTAATACTAAATTGTTTATTTGGAGAAAGACTAACCGCTATGTTTGTATTTCTGGGCAGAAAAACAACTCATTCAATAACAGTGGCTTTCTTTTTCTTGACTAAAACATTTTTAGGTGAGTGTTAAAAGTACAGACTAGTTTCCCATCCAACATATTAACTAAACAACAGCCAAAATCTTCATTTTCTTTGGCCCGCTTGCAATTAAACATTAAAGAGCTGCAGCTGGCTACAGCTGTCTTGAAACTGCTGACATGAACAAGCTCCAAATACACATTCTATAGTTCGAGACACAGATAATAATGGCATTCATAGAATCATAGCTCTGGTGATTTGAAAAGAAAGCAACTCTTGTACTGTATGCAATTGCAATAGAAAAATACATTCTTCCTCAGCCCTAATGCAGAGAGTGACAGAAAGACAAAAGCAGGGAAGTGGGCAAAAAAAGACGGTGGAAGAGACAAAATAGAGTGAGAGAGATGCCAGTGGTGAAAGAGAATGAGGGAATCAGCATGTGGCGGTACAGTAAGAGGCTACTATATAAACAGACAGCCTCATTGCATCTTCATGCCTGAGTGATAGCAACACTCACAACAGTGAGAGGCACACATCTGTCAACACACACACACACACACACACACACACACACACACACACACACACACACACACACACACACACACACACACACACACACACACACACACACACACACCACTGTTCAATGACCTTGTAACGACTGAAAAGAGCTTTATTCTTTAACAGCAGCAAATACGCCTCTTTAAATACGGGCTGACAACTAGGGCTAAAACTCAAACTGAACTCATTTGGTGCATTGTGATTGGCCATCTCCCACGCTGATGCTGCCATTGTCATAAATAAAAGAAAGTATGGCCTCAAAAACTACATTTTAAGCATCAGGCAGGAAAAATGCTTTGTGTACTTTAAAAGGTAAAGTTGAATGTCTATAAAAACCTTCTCATAGCCTAAAAAAGCTTCCTTTTGAGCATGGCATCATTATAATGTAGTCTCGTACGTGCCTATGCAAACTAACAACACCTATATACGATTTGTAGGCGTGGTTCAACCAATTGGAAAAAGTACAACAATCAGAACTTAATAGAAACTAAGTTAAATCTGTGCATGTCATCTTTGTATAGACTTCAGCTCCACAGCCACATTCATTAAAGTTAGCAGCAGTAAACGGGTGAAAGGTAGGACCTTTACTCAGATGTCCAAGTATTTGTCATTCGTATTATAGAAATGACAACTCCTAGATTGTTATTCGTCTTTCATCAAAGTTAAAAGCGTTAAGGTTGTCACCTCCTAAACATAGATTTAATGTCAAAGAAAAATGGTGTTGATCTGATTGATACCTACTGTTGCTACTGATTGTTAGGGCATAATACACCCTTCCTGTCAGCATGAAAGTGACTAAATTAGCAACAGTCAAAATGTACGAAGTGAAATAAAATGGCAAAACATAATTTAAATGTAGTAAAGGCTGTTAAACTTTAAAGTAAACCATGAAGAAAAAAATATGTTAAGCATCTTTACTAGCTAAACATCTTTGACATAAATAGTGCCATCTTGGAAGTTATCCATTTCTAAATATGGGCCAAATTGGCACAAGTTCAATTCAAGCTGAGTTAGATCTAAACCTGTGCCTGTTGTGTTGTTTCAAAGCGCTGCACACTGATGGGTGGGGAGTGTCGCACAACGCTGAAAGCAGGGCCTTGTTGCCCTCAGTGGTAGCCTGACCAATCTTCTCCCCCCCCGACCTGGCTCACCTACCTACGCTCAGCCTACACACACAACACACACACAAATTATCCCTGTCAGCCAGAGAAGCAGCAACTTTTAGTGTGAGAAGCCACAGTTATACTTTGTGTTGGCTTCCTGAGCAAAACGCACAGGTAAAGTAAGCACAGCCCAGAGAACATGTTCCGACACAAACCTTCAGTTAATAACTATAAAACTCGTCGTTGAGGTATTATCATTAAATGTGATGCTGTACTGACACTCATCATGGTGCACCACAATGTGGCGGCAACAGAAATGTGCATGTGTTGATTATACTCACATTCATTAAAGGAATCATGCTAAACTGGGTTAAGACTTGTCTTTAAAAAAACAAAACTAAGAAAGCCCCATCACCCTTTGCAGGTTTTGGTGGTTGGTTCCCATGGCAACATGACACATAAATCTTTGCACACTTCCCTTACTGTTTACCATACCCTAATTATGACCTTCATTCTGAACTACAGTCTGTGCTGTCCGTTTTTCTCAATGTGTTTTAGGAAACTTGAATCATTTTTGGCTTATCCTGGATGAGTCATTCAGGCACAATACTGTTCCCTCGTTCCCGCCCTGGTGTCAGTCAACCCTTACCATGACCAATCACACAAAGGCAAAGGGTCATGGGTTCATTCTCAAATTCCCAGGAGTCCCATTGCAGACTTTAAGCGTTCCACAGCCCTTAATTGGTCCTGACCCCTCAGATCATCCAAGGCGGCACACCCCCCACACTGAGCTATCAGCTCGGTACACAACTGTTTTTATCTGTCAGTGAGAAGGCCTCTGACCTAATGAATCACCATGACATCCACCAAAAACACACAATGATTTTTGGGGGGATATAGATGGAATAATTTGAGTCAACCATTAGTGATTAGTAATTACCAATCTGTAAAATGTTAAGCATAACAATGAGTCAAGGCTGTTCCAGTCTGGAAAACTAACATCAACCTTACTTTCTCAAAGGTGAATAAATTGTTCTGCTTTCGGGAAAGGAGGTTAACTATAGTTCCTAAAGAAAGGAAAAAGTGTTGCACAAGACATATTCACACACGAGCCAAGACTTTTAACATAATAAGGTTAAAATGTATAAAAAAACACAAATCCAATGCCTCTTTTGCTTACTGGAGGGCTCTTTCTCTTTTAATCAACTCCCTGCCTCACCTTGTTTTGAGGCAGCCACACAAAAAAACATAAAGGAGTTCTTATATCAAAGTGGGTTTGTTTGTTTGTAGTTACAAACATTGGCCCTATAAAAGACTTGTTTAGACCTATCACATAACTTCTGTGATTTTGTACTTTCTCCATTACAAGAACATACACCCAGACACACTAAAAGCTACACAACAGCGTGCAAAGGTTGTTTGGTTGAAGTCTTTCCTGTTTTTGTAACTTTGTCCTTACCTGGGCGAGGACAGGGCTTTGGGTTCGGGGAGTTTGCTATCTCTGATGTCGTGGTCTTGTTTGAACTGGGTTGTGAAACTGGAGTGGGGTCCCCCTCATCTGGTGGCTCTGGGGAGATGGCAGGGGCCTTCCTCTCCTCATCCATGGGCGTAGGCCTGGCTCTTATGGGAGGAGGTGGAGGGGCCAAGGAGTGAGCCTGAATAAGATGAGAGAGATAGTCAAACATATAATTACAGAGGTGATTGCATGGGTCACATGACAGATTTTTGTCTGTCGTTTTAAATTGAAAACCAAACAGCTTGATGCTTGCCATTGTTTTTTGTTGCTTATGGCCATGATTTAGTGAGAGGAAGGTGTAATCAGGCACAACTTGAACCAGCATGAATACCTTACAGCTATAAAACCACTCAAGGAAGGCGCTGGCACGCTGCTTTCATGAAACACTGGCAACACAACGGATGTGCATAATAATAGCCTTCATTAATAAATAGTGTTTAAACTCTTTAAACTTGTGTTGTGGAAATAAAAAACAATATGGGTAGTATGTTTAGCCTATAACAACAAGAGATAAAAACGCAAAGGTAACTCAAGTAGTATGAAAAGTTAAATTATAATTATATGAAAAGAACAGACACACACAAAAGACAAAAAACAAAAATATGAAGAAGCAAAAAAATTACTAAATAATGATATTTTTTGTAAAACTTCACTGCAAGTTATTTGGCATTTTTAACTATTTTATGACATACATTAATAGACGGTGGTTCGATTTGATCTTAGACAAAACAGACACATACCACTTTAATATTAACTTTAACTATAACTTTAATAGGATTTAATATTGACTACTATTGTCGACCCACGATTGCAGCAAACGTAAGGGTTGCTATAGCCTAAATGATGCATTCCTACCTGGCTACCTTCATACCTGCCACATTACCTGTTATCAGTTCACCTGGGTTTTATCTTATATTCGAGAGGAGTCCAACAGACAGTCAGCCCCAAGCCCCGGGCACCTTCTCAAAGTCATCATTAACACGGGACAAATTGAGTGTGTCACGTGCCAACGTGTGTTTGGTGCGCGCCAGCCCTGCCAGAGCAGCTCAGCTGGACAGCTGTTTGCGCGCTCCCGTGGTTCTGCTCGGCATTTGCTGGCCAGAACACTTTTGACAACCTATTAAATACGTTTTTGTGAAATCGCTTGATAAGCTATGGTTTACCAAATGCGTAAAATGTTTTACCCCAACTAAGTGGGCTTAGTTTAAATGCAAGAAAGTAAAAAGTGTAGGCTATAGAAGTTTCGGGAAAAAGAGCAAACATCGCACCACACGCGTGAAAACACTGCCAAACTTCCAGCTTAAGTTAACTGTTAAAAGGTTTTAAAAACAGTCTACCTTTCAAGATAAATATATGCTGAAATGTATAGTATTAATTGCCCTTACAGAAGTTACTGCCAGCTAACGGGCGTTTTCTGTTTACCTTTATTGCATGTCTGCGCCCTGCTTTCCCTAAACGAGTCCCTGCATGCTCAGACCGAGCTCAGCTTCAATGTAGCGATTCTTCTTCTGTCTAGATTCATACTTCAAAAAGTAAGTTTGATGTAGGTTACAACAACAGCACAGCAAAACAACCCCGTACCTTCTCTCTGGCTGGGACGCGGTGCAGCAAAACGTTCGGCTAATTCATTCTCTGACCGACCAGGTGGACTTCTCGCCCTCCGCGACCTTTGCCGTACTCGTTGCCTCCACTCTTGTCACCTCACACGACCACCGGCTCTCTTTTCGGCTCATGTAGGTAGGCCAAAAACTCCCAAATTCAATGCATATTCCAGCAAAGATAGTTTTCTCTCCGCCTCCAAAAGTGTGTCTCTCCGGCTCGCCCCGTCCTCCAGCAGACCAGATGTTGGGAAGTTTATGCGTCTCTGCAGGCAGCTCGCTGGGTCTTCTTTGTCTGCACTGCAGGGTTACTTTCAGTTGCTTTTCTGCAAAAAATGTCCAAGTCCACCACCGTGGAACTACGTCCCGTGTAGGCTACTCGGTCTCTCCTCTTCATTACTCCCACTGAACTTGCCTAAGACTTCTGTGCTGCAGCTATTGGACAGGAAACTACAGTCAGCAGTGATTGTGCTTCCTCCAGGCTACAAACTAGTTGGGCTGAACTATACTGTCATATAATTACCCCCTTAACCCGAACCAGACACAGCAATAACACAGGGTAGCTTTCATCAGGAATTATGAGCCCAGAGACCATTATGTTTTGTCATTAATAACAGAGTAAACGTTTGTGAATATAACTTTTTATGTACAAGTTTCAACACTTTTACTAATTCAAAATTACTTGAATGCAGCATACCTGTTGTGCTCAGTTATGGTCACTATTTTTAGCACATTATGCTTTAATATAATATGATATTCTGTAACATTCTGTTGAGTTATTACTGCTATATGTTAATTAAATATAATACTGAAGGTGTTTCAATGGATGCTAAATTCTATTTTTGTCAGCCAATACAGTTTTTTCACCTTGGAGAAACTCTGAAAACTTACATTTTGAGAAACCAATTGCAGTTTCTGTATAGTAAGCAAGAACAATATCTAATTCTTCTAATTATGGGCCATTTTCTGCCCAGTACACATACTCCGACATGAGTCGAACGAGACCTCTGTTCTTCAGGTGCAGGGTCACATGCTGTTATGATTCACTGTGGGAATTTCTTTGTGCAAGTGACCTCTTTAGGTGTCCCAGCACAAGACTAAACAAGGTCTTGTCTCATGATTCATCCTCATAATACTAAGTGTGCACTCAAAAGCAATTACAATTAAGCCTACAAAACACATCCCCACCTTAAACCCTTTTTGCCGTTGACAGCTGGCATTATTTTTTAAGCTGAGAAAATGTATTGTCAAACCAGAGATATTGAAACACAATTAGCCTTGCAAATCTCACTGAAAACATAATTGTTTATCAAAACTATAAACATGTTATCAAGTGTTGAATAAGTGAATTAATTTGAGCAACTAACTAAATTAGCGTGTTACATAAATAAAGACTTTTAAAGAAAGAGGATAAAGTCCCCTTTTATATAGTGATTTATAATATTTGAGTAATGCATCTCCTCTGATATCTGTTATCCAATTAATAAACAAACAAATAGGGTTGAGTCACGATAATTGAATTTACTGTGTGTATTTACATTGACGATCATACAAATATGAAATAAAATATGTGAGCTTAATGAAACCAGAATCTTTGTGAAACCCGTTAACCTTGGTTTAGCACTAAATCTATTGTAAATATATATATATAGACTTTTGATAGTTCAAGCTCACTATTTTCATGAACAAGTTTAAGCTTCTTTTAATTACATTCTCAGATGTTCTTGAATTACCTTTCAATGGACCTCATATTTATGTTTTAAAACTTTACACCAATAGTTATGCAGCAACGACACAGATTTTGAAATGAATGAGTATCAGTCCAATAACACAAGTAGTCTTTGTTAGGTAGTGATTTTTTTTTACCATAAAATATACGAGTGTATTTAAATGTATGACAATACTGATCACAATAAGCCTAATAATATCTCTACCAGTAACGGATGTATTATTTTCGAAAAAACGTTCCAACAGACAATCCACTACTTATCATCATTTTTTTGTTGTCGTTACCCCACATTAGATTTTTAATCAACACACAAAGGTCCAGAGTTACTCTATCAATATAGAGTAACATGGAGAAACTGAACCCATACATCAAATGTAGAATAAACATATTAAACAATGCAATAAAACAACAGAAAGAAATCACTTGAAGGAGAAAAAAATAACATTACAAGTTATATTTAATTAGACACATTCAAATTAAGCTGTTATTGCATACAGTAGTAAGCTCAAAAATCAACCTCTTAGCATCTGCAAAAAAGGACGTCTAACCTTGTTTAATTTAATATTGAGAATATTCTTTACCTTTTAATATAACCTATAATAAAGTAGTAGGAATAATGGAAGTATTTACTGGGTCACTCATGATACAGAGGATAACAGCCAGCATTTCAGACCGGCTCTGTCTGTCTGAGTCATGTTGACACCCGGAGGATGTTTCTGATGAGGGTTTTTATTGTGATTGATGTTTAGAGGCGTGGCAGGGTCTCAAGGTAATTCACAGCAGCAAATCTTCAGAGGCCTTTTCTGAGACAGGCTTCATTTTACTAACAACATGAAAACCTCCTGTTCTATTTGTGTGTACAATCACTCATCCAGAGACAGCCAGGCTTTGACACTGAACTATTTGTGGGATTTAGTGTGGGCTCAGCGTCTGTCTGGGCACGAAGGTCAGAGTCTGTGTGGAAGTGTCTCAGCAGGATTGCTTTTTTACTGTTTGTCTCCTTGTTTGTGAGAGAAATCTAGACATAGTGCAGTTTACTGGGGCCAGCTGGGTACTGCTGATCTGACTAAACTTGCTTTAGGATCCAAATATTTTTGTAACACATATTCCATATAGATATTAGATTAAGACAGATAATTGACGCAGTAACACCAATGGATGATTTTAACAAAGTCTGCCACTGACAGGAAGTGGGATAACAACCAATACAGCATTTCAAAGTCTCTTTGAGTTAATTCATATCAACACATTTCAAATAGTTGCCCTCCCTGCTGTTTTACATGCATAACTTAACAGGATGGGACAAAGCATCCAAATTGTATCAAATTTAAATTCCCCCTCCCCCATTTCAACTTATTCACAGGATCACAATGTGTTAATGAGGCAAATTCTTATCTTTTATCTGATATCATCACATCAGCTAAAAACGATACCGTACAATTATGGAGTAATAAAAGCAGAGATCCCACTTAAATAAACCAAATACAAGCTTCAAAGACCCTGAAGACTGTTGACATTACACTGTGGCTACATTAAAGCCTTGTCTGTTTGTACAAGATTGAGTCCCCCCACCTATTCCAGCACTGCACAATGAGAGCGGAGACATAGTTTTGTCATCAGCTTCCTGAAACACTCATTCTCTCTATCCTCTTCCGTTTGTGACTATGCCTCAACCTTTCAACGAGACCACAATGATACAGTCACATAGCTCCCATTTATTTCGCTTGGTATTTACATAATAACTTAAACACTAATAATTAACAGGTACTTAAATGTTATTTAATCAACAAGTATTAATGATTTTCTAAACTCATTTTTCACAGAGTAGTTTAGCAGGTTGCCTTTGTTCTGGTTCTACAGTAATTGGCAGCTTCCTGTGGAGGTGAACGAGGGCTCTTATGACCGCCCAGGGTCTGTAGCACCAGGCATATTAATATGGCAGTGTCCCTTCACATTTCTCACCATCAAAGCAGCTTCAGTTAATTAATCAGGAGCGGCACACAGGCACATACACAATAATATTTGTAGTGCGTCCAGATAAACATAAATATCTTGTCCCTGATCCTGAACCGTTATGACTGTCCTTTGAAGGAACAGTTTCATATTTTGGGTTAAGTTTGAGTTACATGAGGAGATATTTACCTCTCACACCTCAGTACATTGCATGTCAATAAGGGTAACAAAATCCACTTGTAAGCACATCTCAAGCTTATATAAAATAAAATGTTTTTTCTCATTTGTTTAACACAGTACAGTTCAATTTTTTACGGTTACCAGGCTATATTTAGGCCAGCATGATTTGCCAGGTAACTGCCCTTTTTTATGGTTGTTGAATTTGTGTTACCCTTTGAATGTTTCTTAATGCTAAGCTTAATTAGCTTCTGGCTCCTGAACTTACCTATTAACTTACAGGACATCACAAAATTAATATTTTGGCAAAAAGCTATTATGTGTAGTATGTGATATTACTCCAAATGATCAGGAAAAAAGGAGAGTCTACACTTCGAATACTTACCTTGCAAATATTGTTCAAGGTCCATTATGATACAGGGAGTGTCATAATATGCACTTTATTTGAGATTACTTGCATGTTTACGTATTTTACTTTCAGTTCCATTTTTTTATGTTTACAGCACTTAAGTTTCAACTCTAGCTAGAAAGGTCTGAGGCTTCAGAGGCCTTCCAGTTAGCTGAGATACAGCAGAGAGAGAGAGCTTCTCCAGCTCACCAGCACTGGAGGACTGAGCGTAGAGCCCCACAGCTCCAGGACTTCTGAGCAGAATGCATTGGATGCCACATCCAGGCCCTATACCCAGCGTCAGATCAGCGGACAGGCTGGGAGGGGCGGACAGAGGAAATGTAGAGATTGAGAGAGAGTACAGTGTATGTGTAGGTGTGTGTTCACAAGGGAATGAAACTGGAGCCACACACACACAGAGAGTATCTGCTGAGACCATCAGATTATTATTCTAAACTTTTGACGTTGATTGTTTCAGTGGTTTTGAACAGTCTGGTTGTTACTGGGAGATTGAGAGAGAGAGAGAGAGAGAGAGAGAGAGAGAGAGAGAGAGAGAGAGAGAGAGAGATGAAAATGTGTTTCCAATCACTCACAAAGATGCTTTTGTTCTGTAGCTGGGGCCCTCTCTCTCACACACACTCTCTCACACACTCTCTCATTCTCTCTCTCTGGAGTTTCATCCACTTTCTCATCTGAACTCTCTGAGGAGGATCCTGGGAAGAAAAAGCTACCTGAGAGACACTCACTAATTGGAGGCTTTAGTTATTGCCATAAAAAAGTCATAAAAAAATCCTGGTTTAGTATGTCGTTAAAAAAAGTAATAAATAAAGTTATTGTACTTCATAAAAAAGTCCATAGCATTGTATTTGATAGAAGAGTGAACAGTCGAGTATGTCTTAAAAAACGTTATATTATATCATGCCATAAACATGCCATAAAAAAGTCAAAGTATAGTATGCCATAACAATGTATTTTAAAAACGAAATAGAGTATTATGTCATAATAATGTCTAACAAACATATTAATACATTTGGGCCAAAAAAACAAGCATTCTAAGTCTATCACCCGCCCACATTAGCTTTGGAATCAATACCAATAGAAACTCTGATATTATTGTAACACTAAACAACATCTTTTTAAATCTCTTTTTTCAATTTAAGCACCTTTGAAAGTCAGCTTTAGACTGGTAAGTTTAAATCGATTTATTATGACTGTAAGCAATGCATACTGATCATTTCCTGACATTTTGAGGGCGGCCATTTCAAATATTCTCCCCTGTTTACATAATTTGACAACCCCTGCATTAGACTGAATAATCAGATCCATGTGGATGCATGCAGCGGCAGATCATAAGCATGTTGTGTTGTTTTGAGTATTAAGTCAACACACTGGAGGACTGCCCACTCCCTCAGCCACAGACAGGAGGGGAAGAAGGGTGAGGGGGGATGACAGTGAGAGAGATGTTAGCATGGCGCTCAGTACATTTATTTTGTGACTCACAGGGTCTGCCTGGACCTCAGTGCTCACTATGCGTCCGGGACTAACAGCCATCCATACAGTATACCCAATCAGAGACACATACACACACATTAAGTCCTGCAAGTGTATCCAGGTTTGCACAATACACACACTCCTGTGCGCACACCTATTGCTCACTTTGTCCAGATGGACATTAAGAAATATGTTCAGTGCTCAATGCCAAACACTACTGTGCCACGCCAAGAATAACCTCTTTGTGTGTTGCTCTGCACCCTGGCTCACCTTGCACAAGTATATAGTTCTGAGTTTCTGCTTAGTATTCATGATGTGTGCATGCCAGTGAGTGTGTTTCTGTATGCGTGTGCATGTGTCACTGTAATAAGCTTAAGATGGGGTCTCTCCCAAAACCAAATGTCACAGGGATTTAAGCGTCAAGAGCGAGTTTCCTCCCAGCTGACTAACAGAGAAGTTCACTAAAAGCATAAGATTAAACAAAGTCTCAACTTTCCAAATAACATCCAGCCAGTTTCCATTTTTTCTCCCTGTGGCAACACATCCACCATGCAGCGCACATGCAGCTTTAAAGATAAGCTGTAGGGCATGTGAAGTAGAGAGACAGTATGGGAGAGAAGGAAAGATGATGGGTGAGTGAAAAAGAAGTCTCACAAAACTAGACTGAATGATATTCAGTGATTTTCAACCACCTGCATTTATGTTACTCCCTCCATCCCAAACTCTACAGGTTGGTTCTGCACTCTCTGGCCCACCCTGTTGGTCGGACCCTGTCAGTGGACCACAGTGCTGTTTGTTGCTGGGTTTGTGTTTATGAGATGCTGCTTGTGTTGTCCGGTTTGTTTACTCCTCCTGGTGGCCACTCTCTGCATCACAACACAGGCTGACCTCTCTGAAGGCCTTGAGGCTGCCTGGAAATGTTTCTGTTTGAACAGCAGTTTGTCATGTAATAATGAGGGTCACATTTCAGAGAGGATCGATTAACTATTATACTGTAATGATTTGGTATATTCATTTAAGGATTGTGTGTTTGTGTAAGTCTGCATGTTGTTCGATTATAGTGAAATATGTCTATACATTTCTTAGGGCCTTAGCTCTTAAAATGACAAATTGTCCTCAAGATAGCTTATTTTATAAAAGCACCTCAGATTTTGACAGCTGTTGTTAAAAGTGAGATGACACCATTTCTGATGAAACTCAACACAACGAGTTTTTACTAGAAAATGTAATATTTGGCACATTATAAATGACATGTTTATAGATGTTGAGGTTAATCACATTTAAATGTGTGTCAGGATGTACATCTGGTGAAGCATTATTTTATAGGTTAAGCATTGTATAGCTTTACCTGCACCGTATGACTCAACAGGATGCTAAGAGGAAATTTGCTCGGAACATTCAGCTATCCTTCATTATTAACAGCAGTTGCCTTGATTAGTTTTCCCTAATTATAGTGGTTAGAGACTGCAGGAGTCGAGTGTTTATATAATAAGTAGTCTGGCAGTGGTCACAGTGAAAATTAGAGTAGCCTCATTTAATACTTAGGTATTTCACTGCATTTTCAGTTTGTGTTGTCATAGCTTGCTGCACGACAGGATTCATTATTTTGTTAGGTATTATAACATAAATAAAGTATTTATTTACTGTGGTAGGTAGTTTCACAGGTATTTGTTATATATACCCTGTGATTGTAAGTAGAATGAACTCTTAAAAGGAAGCCTCGTTTATTTTGCGTTATGGGATACATTATGTGAAGCAATTGTGATCATTTGATCCTAATATTTTTTTTCTTTGCAGACTGATATATGTCAAGACCTGTGTTAAATCTAAGAGGTCAAACTGACATGCTATGTATAATAGAAAAGCAAGAAAGGATTCAAGGGTAATTTAGAAAAATAAATCATTATTTAATAATATCATGATCCCTTTAACAAGTTAGGAACCAAAGCTATCTACTTCTGGAGAAGAAACAACAAGGACGCAGCAATCGACAGTGTAATAAGTATTTTATTGCATTTTATAATGCCATTGTCAATAATTAGTACAGATTACATGCAACTAGACCTACTGTACAGTTTTTTTATTGTCTGCATGGACAGACACAAGAAGATTCAGGTTACAAATACACAGATATATGTGTGTGTTTTTTTATACAGCATGAAGGAAAGGGCAGTGACTGGCATTACATGGCTGCCCGGGGGGGAGGGTCAGAGGGCTGGGCTCCACTTTCTGTCTAAAGCTGCCGCCCAGTCCCTGTCCCCACCTCTTCCTCGGGTCACACTTTCAAATAACAAGAAACAGAACAAAAACCAAAGGAAAAAGAGAGGTAAACAGGTAAACTGAAACTAAGAAACAATACAGAGTCACTGCTGAAAATGTACACACATTCCTTAGGTTTAACCAGAGGAGAGCTGAAGTGGTAGTTCCATCGGATTCTGGCTATCTACGTGATAATACCACCAGGCAATGCTCCACTTCGAGAGTCCCTTCCCCCCTCACATGACACCTCAGAACTGTCCAATCACAAGTCAGGATTTGGGCTCCCCGTGTCCTTTGAGTCAGTCACCAGCCAATAGGATGCAGGCTGCTCCTACAACACCTTTACGATGTACGAGATAACAGCTATCAGTGAAGTCCATGGATACTTTTGGAAGTAGCTTGGTTTTTGTTTGGTTAAAGTTGTGGCATTGGTTTGGTTACAGTTTGGTTACAGTTCAGGAGTTTGGACTAAGCAAATGGTTGCCTTCAATGCCTTTGGTAGTCAGAGGGTAAGCTGCATCTCTGAGAGCCATTCCACATTTTGGTATTGAGACTACACATGAGGAGGAGTATCAAAAATGCAACAGTGTCGGGCTTTGATCTGCCTCTGGGACTGGGAGATGGGGTCTGTGACTGGTCACCACCAGCCAGGTGTGTGACTCAGTGACACCCCCATGGCGCCTGCAGATGATTGGCAGCTCTGCGGGTCAGGGTTCAGCACAGGAATGACAGGGGTCAGGGGTCAGAGGGAGGGGTCACAGGGAGCTGGGACACATATTGGCACCTGAGAGGACCAACAGCAATATCTTTCTAGAGCTCCGCGATTTTTTTTAAAGCAAGAGAGGGGCTACATATTCATACATTTTTTCCTCTTTCTCTTTTTCTTTTCAGAGATTTTGGTCCTGTCTTTGAGAAAAAGTCCTTCTGAGGTATCAATACATAATGAAGTAACTTTTTAGTTTGTTTTCCATTTGTTTTGTTTTTCTTTCCTTAAAAATGCATAAATGCAGTACAGAGACAAAAAAGTATCAAAATAGACCTAGCTAAGATAAATATACAAACAGGTGTTACCTAAACCACTGATCTAACTTTTATTCTTTTAATTTTTTTTTGAGATAATACACTTAAAAAATCAGCGTCCCAGACGTTTTATGAAGAACTGAAAAAATGGAAACAAACAAAACGAAAACTAATAAACCAAGATACCTGCAGCACTTAATATGAAAAATACATATACTTCAGCATTAGCAGTACAGTATAGGAATCAGAGCTGAAAGCTTTACAATAGCTAAACAGGTGCGGAAAATAAAAACAGGAGATCAGAAAAATCAAAAGGACAAAACGGGAAAGAATGCCCTGGAGAGATAAGTCAAGCATTAATATACAAGAATACAACATGTTATGCCAAGCTGGAGAAAGAACAGAAGTGTAACATGACGACCTGTGAACAATCTACATCTTTATAAAACAGCTTTGTTTACAGGTGTACCTTAAAGCACAAGTCAGAGATCATCTATGTACTGTATGCAGCAGTTCCTCTGGGTTTGGATATTACTAGTAGTAGTGATGAGTTTCTTTAAGTGTGTGTTAGTCCTCTCAGCATCTCTGAGTGTTTTGGCGAAGCGGCTGCCGCTGTGTTGAGGGTCTTTGGATATCTGGATGGTTAGAGCCTCTGTTGCACTAACCCACAGCCCCGCTTCTAAGCCTCTGTTACTCCTGTGTGTGTTTTAACAACCATTTTCTGTTCATGAATATGCACATGTTCAGTCAGAGCACACAGTGAGAGGCTGTTCACTTAGATCAGAGCTAATCGATGCAGGAATATGGTCAGCTGATAAAAAACAGTTTCATATATCGAGCACTTCACAACACACTTAGAGACGTAGAGAGTGCTTTAGATGTGGTTTAAGGAGAGGTAGTCATTTTTTAATTCCATGGAAAGTGAAACGTCTCTATGTTTTTGGGCTCGAGCAGATGTGTTAGGGAGTCCAGATCGCCAAATAGCTTTGTTTTCTCTTGTCAGTCATACAGTAATGTCTAACAACAATTTTGGCATTTGTTATAATCATCGAGTAAGAATGGAGGAAAAAAATATTTTAGTTCGGTCTCCCATTGGCTATGTGTTGAACCGTTTTGAAAAGGAGGTAGTGTTATTTTTGGTTTTTTATCTCGTTTCAAGATGTCTGTCTGCCACTTTGTACTTTGTTAGAAATCAGTCTCTAATGTGACAGGAAACAGTCCTGTTTGAACACAAAGTCATCGGAAAGGTTCTTTCATTAAATAAGAGAAAATCGTCTGAAGTGCAAGAGATAGTTTGACAAAAAGTAAGAAAATATGAACCCAACTTTCAATTACATGATGTCCCTTGGTTGTTTTCCTCTTACATTGGCATGTTTTTTTTTACTTGTTCCCTCTTTATTAAATAATGTATGTTTTTGGAATAACTCCTTCAAAGATGTGACTTGTGTCCAGTACACTTCCCCTTTCTGCAAATATTACATACAGATCAACAGGGTTATGTTTGTTCCCTAGATTGAAAAACTCCAAATGTTTGTTAGGACAGCACCAGAAAAAGTATCCTGTTAAGCGGAAAGTGTTCAAATGCCTCACGAGTGCCTAATTTTTAGGCCTGCTCTTACAGCAGTAGGGCCAGTCGGGTTGTGTTTGGAACACAGTTTAGCCTGAGAGTGGGAGAGACAGGGTTTCACCTCTAAGTGCTTTTTTCTTTTCTCTTTCTTTTAGTTTTTTCAGAGGAACTGTGCGAGGTTTGTTAATACTAGTTTTTGGCCTCATACCTAATGTGAGTCATTCGTAACCGTTTATCATCTCCGAGTCCTAGTTTGCTTCACACACTTTGGTTTTCGGAATGGTCAGCACTGTAAATTATGGAAAATGTCGACACAATATTTATATGAATACAATAATAAGAATTCAAACTCCTGGTTTGTTGTCTTTTGGCCAATTCTTTAAGAAGAAAAAAAAAGGAAACTCATAAGGGCAAAATAAACTACAGGGTTTTTGGTTTTCTACATATTTCTTTGGTTACCTGTAACAAAAATAAAATGGGAATAAGCAGATAATAGTTTAAAATAAATGTTAAATTTGGTATGGCACTGTAGAGAAAAGTAATGCTTTTTATGCTCACGGAAAACAAAAACAAAAAATCTCACGTGCTATTCCTTTAACACAAACTCACACAGTGAATTGCAGATAGCTTCTACACAGTAACTATTACAACCATAGAGCTTTGAATCGAAGCTGAGCAGAGTTGCCGCATTTGGTGTCCCACAGAAAGAATTCCCCCTTTTTGTTTATCAATTTGGACACAGTTCCAGGCAGAACCTTTGTGGGATGAGGTATTCTCTCACTGCAGTAATAATATATATTTTTTTTAAAGCATTACTGATATTTCTCAACTAAATACACAACCAAAAACAAATGAAAGAGAGAGAATACAAATTAAAAAAAAGGTTCAGCTGTTAAATAATGTCTGGATAATGGCAACTTTAAGTGCTATTTCCATATTTCTTGCCTGCTACACTTGGGACAGAAAGGGAGAGGGGCAGGAGCGGGGGTCGGGTATCACAAGTTGGGACAATACTGCGCTTTCTTTTTTTGTTGTTGCCAATACTCATTTGGAATGGTGTGAACAGCCAGAATAAATCAAACAATTTACAATACAAAAACAAAAACAGCATCCTAAGAAAAGGTACGTTGAAACAGAACGCCACCATGGAAATATTGATCCTCAAAAATAAACAATGATAATAACATCAAATAAAAAAGGAAATGACAAAAGCTACCACACTTTTTTTCTTGTTATACTCCATAATCATGACCAGTTTTCTTTTGAAGTCACAATTTTTCTGTAGACGATTCCTCCCTCATTTTTCTCTGGTCCCCTCCTTTCTTCTCATTCTCAAAGTGTTCCGAGCTCATCGCTCCATCCGCAGACGGAGCGGAGGAGAAGGACAGCACCAAATGGTCCTATTCCTGCAGTCTTTTTGGGGTAGGGATGGGAAGGGATTGAGGTGGGGTAAGGAACATTTCTTTTTACTCAGAAGCAAAGAGTTAAAAAGGTGTTCGGGGGGGGCAGAAGTTTAGACAGAGACCCGGGCCACAGCCTCGCCTGCTCTGCAGAAGTGTCGGAGCACTGTTGGAGGTAATCTTTGAAAGCGCTCCTCCTCCCTTCCCATCTTGAAGCCCGACAGTTTCATTTCAATCAAAAAAAAAAATAATGAAAATGCAAGTGATTGACTCAAGGAGGGGGAAAAAGGAGAGGTGTACTGCACAGCCCCTGGTGACTGCTCCAAATATATATACACATTATCCTGTGTGTGTCTATCTCTGTCAAACACACACACACACACACACTCGCACACCTGTGTGGCTTCTTAACTGACGTAAAAATAAAACAGCTAGCCAGGCAGCCTGGGACAACAGCGAGTGGGGGGGTTTGCAGAGTGGTCGGGCAAGGAGAAGAGTGTGTGTCCAAACCTCTGAGGGTCTCTACACAGAGGCTGACCAGGGAGGATGATGACACAATGTTTGACAAGTGATTTTGTGTGTGTGTGTGTGTGTAAGTGTTTTTTGTGTTGTGTATACGCGGTAAGTGGTGTTACACCTCTGAGCCAAGTGTTGTAAAAGAAACACATGGAGGTAAAGCAGTGTTCCACTGTCTTGTTTTAGCGCCTTACGAGTAACGGAGATCTAACCCTGTTTGGAGTTTTTCTCAATGTTGTCCTTGGTTGCTTGCATTTTCTCAAAAACAAAAAAAAACATTCTCTTTTTTCTCTCTTAAGTGTACTGTAGCTATCGTTTCCTCTTCACGCTGACAAGAGGGTTCAGGGAGTGATTTCCCTCCGGTCCAATGGGCATCTGTTCTACTCCAGCTCCTCTGTGGGAAGATCCTCCTCCAGGTCGCGCTCGTCGCTCGGCAACGGCAGGCTGTGTGTGGCGCCGGACAGGAGAGATACTGACCGGATGTCCTCCTCCAGATCGGTGGGCTCCTCCTTCACATGCACATGGTGGCTGAAGGAGCAAACGGATGTTAGCGAGGCGAGGGGGCAAGTCATAAAGGCAGATGCCAATGGCAGAATTTCTCATGCTAAATATTTTCTGTTACATTTTAATCTAGTTTAAATTAAATTAAATGTATTTTTCTAGAATGTTATCCAGGTAGCCTTGAGGTTATTCTTGTTGCATTAAATGTATAGTACAATTGAGGCAACCAAAGCACAAAAAAGATACACAATATCAACAGCTATGTTTTTTGTTGGTGTATGTATAAAATAGTTCGTACAGTTATGTAAAATGTGCTCACATTAAATTAAATGATTTCCTTTTTTTAAGCCATCTTCTATCTATTTTTGTTTTGTTTATTTTGCAGGCACAATGAAAAATACATTTACTGTAACAAATATATCTAAAGATAATTTTCATCATAGGGAACAAGTGTGAAAAACAATAGTTTTTATCAGTTTAGCCCTTATATCTATATTATATGAATAACATATTGATAGACAACCTTGATTGCTGATACACATGTCACTATTAGTCTTATACAGTGGCTCTATGTGCGTGCGTGTGACTGAGGTCCATGTGTACCTGTACTGGTGAGGGCTGAGCGTGGGGCTGCAGCTGCCGTTGCTGTTGACCTGCTCCACAGTGGAGCTGACATCATCGTGGCCCACATGCAGCATGTTGAGGCTGGCCGCAGAGGGGGACATCATGGAGGGGCTCAGTAGGGACAGACTGCCCTCTGCCAGAGCCGCCTGAACAAAAACATCAAAATAACGTTTTTTCTTTAAAAAAGATTCATCAAATCAGAAGAAGCTTAATGACAACAACAAAAGGGGTATGTGATATAATGAAAGGGTGTCTGAAAATGATATGTCCACCACAACCAGTAAAACGCCTAGCTTTACTGGACTTTAGGGCTGATTTTAGGACAACAATTATTTGAATTATCAATTAATCTGCCATCTTTTTTAAATAGATTATTCAATTAAATCTGAGAAAATCTTTTTTTTAAATGTTTGGGTATGGTTTAGTGAGTTCAAAACAAATTATATACTGTTTTTTATAATATAAACAGAGAAAAGCAGGGAATTTACATATTTAACTAAGGCATTTTCTGCATTAAAAATTACTTTAAGCTGAATTGATCGTTAAAATAGTTGCTGGCTATTTTTCTGTATCAATCAACTAATCATTGTACATTTGAACTGTAGTGCTCAAAATGTGTTGACACTAAAATAGATGTGAATAATAATATAACAAATGGTCAGATCTTCAAAAATGGATGCATAGTCTTTTCTTTGTGTCGTATGAGAGATCTTCCACATGGAGCACATTCAGATCCACTAACTTGCTAGTGAACTTGACAAACCACTAGGGGGCACTTATATACAATGCATTCCCCCACCATGGCTTGTCCCTGTCATAAGTGTGTGTGTGTGGTCATGTGAAAGTTTCAAAAGGAACGTTGAGCGGGACTGATCCACCACCTCAACTTAAATGCACACGGCGGAACATCAATGTCTGCAGAGGAGAAAACAACTGAGCCAACAGGGCGGCTTGTGTCACTGCTCCACATCCAGCTGTGTGTGGGGGGAGACAGGTTGGACTAGCTGAGAGACTCACCACACCTCCCACTCACACAGGAAGTGGGGGAAAAAGACAAAAGGAGGGGAAGTCTTACTGGCTCAGAGATGGATTTTCTGGGACAGGCGATAATTTTATGCGGTAACCTTAATTGACAACTACTTGACGTTATAAATCATCTCAGTGGCAAAATTGCATGTGTGTGTGTCTGTGTAGGAGTGAAGAGATGTGCCTAGTGTGTGTACGTGCAGAGGTAGGGGTGGTGCATGTGTGAGAAAGTGAGGTGGGAGGTGAGAGTGTGTGTCGGTGTGGGAGGAGGCGGAGGGAGGTGGTGTGAACGTCGTTAGGGAATCTGCTAATTATAAGAGGGAATTGATATTAGTGCCCTTGATTGCGATTGGCTGCTATGTATGTGTGTGTGTGAGAGAGTGAGAAGAAAGAGAGACATGGGGGAGGAGAGGGCATTCCTTACCTGGTAGCTGGCGTTTAGGGATCCAAAGCCGAGGCCTGAAATCATGTTTTTCACCAGAGTGGGACTTCTGCACACAAACGAAGAGGGGGAGAGGGAGTGAGAATCACAGATTGAGCGCACATGTGAAAAGATGTCACCTCAGCCAAAGCACTCTGAGAGATCTATCAAATATGTTTGTTACAAGTAGAAACATACACAGACTGTAAACAGATGCTAAAACACACACACATATGAAAGTGTCTAATATCTGGCATGCAGGTGTGTTCGTGTGTATGTGTGTGTAATTATCCCTGGTTTCTCTGGTGGTTGGAGAGAACATCTGTTTACATACGCTAACAAGGTTTTTTTCTCTCCTGCATCTCACACAGCTGCTTACTAATGGTGTCGACAAACAGAGAAAAACACACACACACAGCACACACACATACAGCACAGTGCGCACACGATAAACCAGCAGCTCTTTTTCCTTTTTACAGGAAAGCTGAGTTGGCCTCCTGGTAATAATAGAGGGTCCATTTAGGCAATCATAGTGCCAGCACCCATAAGCTCGCACTCACATCAACCTCAACTGTGCACCAAGAAAACAAATGTGTGTGTGTGTGCTTACCCGGTCATCTTTGGTGGTCTCCTCTTTTGGTATTCAACTTCATCCACAGTCCACACAGCTCCCTTCACGTTCTCAACGCGAACAAAACATTTGTGCAGACTCAGGTTGTGGCGCACAGCATTCTGGGAAAAGGGAGGGAGAGAAAAGAGGAAGAAATGTAACATCACTGAAGACAAGTTTACAATTGCTTAGCAAAGGTATTTTATTTTCATTCATAGCGTAATATTTAATAAGATTTGTCACATTTTATTAAACATTTTTGTGACCTCTTCTTTTTTTCCCTTTTCAAAGGGAATGAAAACTTTGGCTTGTGGTGGAGAAAAAACACCAGCATGCAAGGAATGCATTAAATAATCATATACAACATATTCAGTTTGATCTGTTAAGTGACTAATATTCTCTGATGTCTCTTGTTAATATCAGAAGTTATTTTCCCTACATACATTTCAATGATATTCCATGACCTCTATAAATACATATGTCCTTGAGGAGAAACTCAAAACCAGCAGAAATTGTTTTTTTATTTCCTCTCTCTTGGCTGAAGGTAAAACGACTCACTCAGGGTGTGTTCAGTAGAAACAATGTTTTCCAGCTCGGTGTTCAGTTACCTTTTAAGAATTGTGACCTGAGGATGCTTTTTATCCACACACACCGTAGCTCTATGTAGTACAGTGCCAATACAGGGTAGCAGTTCTCTAGGAGCGTCATTTTATCTCAGAATTGTTCTAATCAGTCACCATCGGCACACACACAGAAACACACACACACACACACACATCCAGAGGCACTCAGACAGGCACGCAGGCAGGCACACCGCTATCTTCGTCTCACCCCCCCAGGGACAGGCCTCCCTTTTCATCTGCTATTTGTAGTTTGTTCATGCCCAATTTCATTACCAATTTTAATTCGTCTATAATTAAATCCTGCATATTCTCTCTGACACGTTGTTCTAAGCCGAGAGGGAGGGACAGGCCAGGAGCGACTAATACGAACACAATTAATGCAGACACACACACACACACAACACACCACACAACACACACACAACACACCACACACACAACACACACACACACACACACACACAACACCACACACACACACACACACACACACACACACACACATTAATACCCGTTCCTCC